TAAAATGGAGCATTTATAAGGCTGGCGAAACCTTCCAGAATTGCACATTGAGAAAGACCACGGTCAGGCAGGATTTGCCCCTTCACCTCAACATGCACAACAGAGCTCTAGGAGAAGTACAAGCACTCCTGATTTATGGCATAAACCAGCAACTCTCCATAGGAAATACCTAAAACCTTTTTACAGAGATCCTAGATCTGTGGGGCTCAGACAACTTGCTGCATGCATTTTTATCTTAAGTTTTTTATTTTTATCTAAAGTACATGCACAGTTACGGAATTCAAGATTAATGACTGTGATTAAACCTAATTTATTTCTAGGCATAAGGATTGTGCTTTTTTAGGCAACCTTGCAGAATCGGGTCTAGCTCGAGTGACTTCTTTTGTTTGATAAGTGTCTAAAAATGAGGGTGTTTTTGCCAACTGAGAAATCGCTCCTCTTCTTACCAGCAGACAGATTGTTTGAGGATTTTGTGTCCGTTTTCCCCTTGGGAAGGAGTTTGCTGTTAGGAGACAAGCTCTTTCCTGGCCATGAGCACGGCGCAGGGGAAAGGGGCTCCCCCACTGCAGAGGTGCCCAAGGTGCAGGGTCACCTTTTCCCTATGGGGCTTCACCAGACGTCCCTGAGAGGCCTTTCCTGTTTGACCAACCCCTTCCTCAGGTTCCTCTCATGGATTATGTGAATTACTACCCAGAGATCTTTTTTTTTTTTTTATGGTGAAATAAACCAAGAGCCATCACCTATAAAACCTCTTAGGGGGAAGCGCGTCTTTAATCTGCGGTTTACTACCGAGATCCTTTTTCCACACTGTGATCCTTCAGGCCACAAGTTGCTAGTGCAAGGGAAAAATCTCGTAGTTCCTCTAATAGATATTTTTCTGAGAAAGAAGTTGAAAAATATTCAGCCTAACGAATTGCTTTGCCTCCCGCAAAGTAATATTTGGGTTGTTATGAATCCTCCAATGAAGCTGCATCCAAGAGAGGAGCCACAGGTTTGGAGCTCCATCTTATTTTGGGTTGCAGCAAACTGTGGGTAAAAAGCCCCTGGATTTTGATGCAAATCCTCATGGGAACATGCGGTGAGAAGCTGTTGTGCTCAGGACAGCTCTGGAAGCGCTTGCCAGGGCTGGGGACAGGCGCTGGGCAGGGAATGGGCAGCCCTGCTCTGGGTGCGCCGAGCTCCTCCAAGGAGCAGGGAGCCTTTGCTGCATGCGGGACGTGTGGATTTGGCCCTGAATCGCTCCATAACTCTCTACCAAACCACTGGAAAAGATATTTTCTGCTGCAAATTATAAAGCATTTCCGACTTTGCCCTTGAACGCAGGCTGAGGTCGCGGCGGCCGCGGGGCTTTTGCTGCGTAGGCAGAGCCGGGATGGCCCGAGGTGGCTCCGTGAGGTACCCGGCGCCCCGAGGAGCAGCGCGGCTCTCTCTGGAGGGCACCCCCGTCCCAGCCGGGGCTGCTCTCGGGTTGATGACAACTTCTGTGTCCCCTTCCTTGGGGCAGTTTGCCACTGAAACCCACGTCGACACCGGGGTTTTCAGGGCTGTTGTCGCTGAAGATGCTCGCTTACCTGCTCTCAACCTGGTGTTTTTCCAGGGCACAGAGGTGGCTTTTTTCCCCTCTGTTAATTAACTTTTTTTTTGCCTGTGTTTGCCTTCTCCTGACATCAGGATCTGGGATTAAACACGCGGATATGCTGCATGCAGCATGGGAGTGCCAAGCTGTCAGCGGAGACAGCGTGGAGCGTTTAACCAGTGCTTGGATGTTTCACTGAGTTCCAACAGAGAGCAGGGAAGCGGGGAGCGAGGAGAGGAAAACCTCCCGGATTAGCTGGTGTTGGCTGGTTGCTCGAGGATGATCCCGGGCCGAGCGGGGAGCTGCATGAGCTGTTCTGCTGTTTTTGCTCAAAGGCTTGGCCGCTTGCTGTCCCCGTCCCCGTGTGGGACGTGGTGCCTGCTTTGGTGATCTGGGAGGAAAACACTGGCTCCCCTCAGAGCTAAGGCAGGATACCTAATATTTGGGCCCTTCCCTGACTGCCCTGGCACTACGTGCAAACCTGAGCCAATATTCTTGGTATGTAATCAGAAAATGGAAGGTGTTGTGTGTTTGCTGGCAGCTGTGAACCCGAGGAGAGGGCACGCCATGGTTAGCTGGCACTGCTGTCTGCAGTACGTGCAGCTCCGCTCCTTGCACTCCGATTCGTGCAGTACCGAGCTCAGTTCGATGTTGGCAGCTGTAGGTAACACCATGGTACCAGGGTGAATTTTGCCCTCCGTTCCTGCCCCGAGAGTCTGTGACCTGGCTGGGATTTTGGTGCAGAGAGAGACAAGACTGCAAACCCTAGGGCACAGCAGGGAAAGGCAGGGGCTCCTTGGGTGCCATCCATGTAGCCAGGGCTGAATCCTGGCACCCCGGTGCTGCCCGCAACAGGGATGGCCGCGAGCCAATGAGTGGTTGCTCTCCATGCAAATGTTCCTGGTGCTTCCACCGATCTCATGAATCTTGAAGCTCAGGGTGGGAGAGGTGCTGCAAACACAAGGGAAGGACCGCGATGGATTTATCACAGCCTAAAGTAAATTAACCTCTGGGAGGAGTAATTTGTAAGAATTTGCATTTAGATACTCTCAACATGGCCAAATAACCCCAGGCCCTCTGCAAACAAAGGGTTGTCTAATAAGAGGCAGCGTTTCTGGGGTGGCCGGGTGGGAAGCAGAGCACACAAGGCCTTTTGGAGCGCTGCACCATCGCACCGCACGTGCTGAGTTTGGGTTAAGGATAAATGACGGGAACTTGGCTTTCCACCGAGATGAAGTGCTGTGGTGCTGAGGGCCATTCGAAAGCCTGGAGGAACCTGGAATAAATGTGGTTTCGAAAGGAACCGATACTGCTCTGAACTTAAGGATTATAAAGAGATATCTACAGTCTATTCATAAATGTTAAAGAAAAATAAGCAAATCAAAGCGATAGGTGTGATTTTTGCTTGTTTGCTGGAGAGGCCTTTCCCAAGTCTCCAGGTTCCACCACTTTGTTTTGGTTTCCCAAACTAGGGGCTTGTAAAGGGCTGCCCATAGCACAGGACTGTCCCTGCAAGCCCTTGCGAGTGGTTGTCCTGATGACGGTGAAGGCAGCGCGCAAGGATGTGCACTCCGGTCCAATGTCTGGAAATAGGATTTAAATCCCTGCTGGAAATGCTGTGGAGACAGAAATCAGACTGAAGATGTTGGACAAGGAGTAAATGTTCAGTTTGTCATGACAGGAAACAGAGCTGTGTCTTGTCAAAAAACTAGAGCCCGTCTGCAGCGTGGCAGCCGTCGTCGGGACGGCGTTCCCACACAAACGTGGCTTTATAGGCCCGAGGCTGGGGAGCGGATACAGGAATCTGGAGTATGAAAGGAAAGGTGAGGAGGAGAGGCTTAGACAAGCAACGTGACCTAAACTGCGTTTGCTACGGTGGCGGCGAGTTACACAGTGTCCATGTCATGGCCTTCCTGCCCAGTGGCCTCTCTGGCAGGCCGTGGTTGGAGTGGCTGGAGCGGTTGTGCTGCCCTTGGGAAGTGGGAGTCACCAAGGAGGCGAGGGAGGTGGTGTAGGACGGGCCGTTGTCCCTGGCCTTCATCGTCATTGGGGTTGTTGGGAGATGCTGTAGGACGTGCTGTTGTCCTCGGCCTCTGCCTGAGTTCGGTTTGCTGGGACACGGTGTAGGATGTGCTGTTGTCCCCAACCTCTGTCGGAGTTGGGATTGTTGGGAGACGCTGTAGGATGTGCCGTCGTCTCTGGCCTTCACCCTAGTTGGGGTTGTTGGGACAGAGTATGGGATGTGCCGTTGTCCTTGGCCTTCATCCTAGTTGGGGTTGTTGGGAGGCGCTGTAGGACGTGCCGTTGTCCTTGGCCTTTGCCTCCAGCGGGTGCAAGACGCGAGGGCCGGTGCTGGTGCAGCTCTGTGGGGAGGCCTGTGCAGGTCCAGCACTGCAAACCCACAAGACAAAATGCAGTTCTCAATATATGTCTCAGCTCAGCTGTGACACTACGACAATGATCCTGCAAAATTGCCAGGAGAATTGTTGGCAATCCCAATCAAGTTGCATTAAGCGTCTTAACTTCTTTGTAATTGGTTTAACCCAGCGCATGCTTGGAACAAGTTGGGCTTTTTTCTTTAGGAAAAAAAGAGAACTAATGTTTTATTTCATTCAGATGAATTCTTACTCATGGGTAAGGAGAAATCAGGGTATGTTTGCAGGTGGATGGCTCTTTGTAAGGATTCATCAACACTTAAGTAATTATTTTTAAAATGTTGCTGCTTATGAAAATGCTTCTTTCTGCAAAAATTAAAAAATAATAGATTGTGGAGGGACAGGAGGAGGAGCTCACAGGCTGAAGAGTTCTTTGAATTCACCATCCAAGTCTTCCTACCTTTCCTGTCCTTCCATGCAGCAAGGGGTATATTCGGTGGGTGCCTCTCATAGCAGCTTTTTCTGTGCTAGTCTTGTGCCTTCTGGGCGATAGGGTTTTTATTTTTTTTTGAATGAGAAAAAGAGTCAAAGGGACGATTTCAAAAAGCCTTACAGAGGGGCTACTTACCCAGATTCCACTGACTTTCAACATGTCCTCATGTCCTCTGAAAACTTTGCCCTGGTCGCATTTTTCTGGTTGTAGAAATCCCCTCTTACTGTTTAAATGACAATTAACATGTCATTTAATTAGGGGTTTTGTGGCCTGCTCAAGGCACAGGGCAGACCTGGGGGGGTAGGTGCTTGTATTTCCGCCCCTCTCTCAACGCCAGGGACTTTGCCCCCTGGATTTGTCTTGGTGGCAGTTTTGGATCTTGATTTCATGGTCAGTGTTAGGTGTAAAACTCAATGCAGATCCACTGCATTACACTGTTACTAGGGAAAGGAGGGTGAAGTCAGACCACATTGGCTAGCCTTTGTGCTGAGTTACCTGGGACGAAATTCATCCTCTTCCTCACCTGGCCCTTCAGCTCCGTTTCCTCTTGTTTCAGGGGAGCACCTGCGAATCTGCCCGCAAGGCTACACGTGCTGCACCAGCGAGATGGAGGAGAACTTCGCCAACAAAAGCCGGAGCGAGTTTGAAGCCATGACGAAGGAAGCGGGGCGCTCGGTGCAGACGATCCTAACAGCTCAGTACAGAAGCTTTGATGGTAAGTCAGATCAGATCCGTTCGTCTCGGGAGCCTTCGCTCCCGCAGCATCCGAGTGCTGCTTGAGCAGGGCAGGTTTCTGCTGCTCCCTGCCCTGCGTATCGCTCAGGCGTTCGCCGGGAGTGTTGCCTTTTGAGAGGAGGTGTCCCCCGGGCTGTGTTTTTGCAAGAGCCACTCGTTTCGCTTTGCAAACTGCTTCTCGGTAAAGCCGTTCCAGGAGCTTGGCAGGCAATTGGATCAACAAATCGTGTACCTTGGCACGGGCACAGCTTTTACAGGCATCGCGTAATCGGGTCTTACCACGGCAGCGCAGACTCTGAGGGGCTGATGTAAAGCTTGGCACGATGCCCTGAGCATGAGCTGAGGAATGTGGTGAAGGTGATTGGATACTCCTCAGGAGACAGGGAGGTTTCGAGACATGGCTGCTTCTGGTCCCTTCCAAAAAGACTGCAAATGGAAAGGAAACCGCCTATTAACTCCTGCTAGACACAACTCTCAGCTTCGTGCAACAGGCAGAAAACGTTGTAGAGCAATGAAGGCCTAAGACTGTGATGCTTGAGATGATGTGGGCAAACACGTTCTCCAAATCACAGCATCCCCTCTAAAATGATAAGGATGACTCTTCATTTTATTGTTCCCCGAAGGATCTGTTTTGCAGTGCACACAGTAAGCCTCAAGGTCTGATGGCCACTGGAAATAAATGGTTTGTTGGCAAAATTGAGATGATCTGTGATTCAGAAACCATATCCATTATCAGGTTTTGTCGAAGGTCAGACATTTAGAATCGTGGGCCTCTTACCTTTATCAACAGTCATCACATGGGGCTATCGTGAAAAGAATAGGAGCTGGGGAAGGAGGCAGTAATAGCCAGAAGGGTGGAACTGGAAATTTCAAGCAGTACATAATAGAGGCAAAGAAATAAACCTGACCTTCAGGAAGCCGATAACCAAGATTAAGTGCTTTTACACTGAACAGAAAGAAAAGGCAACGCATCTCTGCAAAGTGCTTTGTAGCTCTGTGACCAGGGTTGACCACAGAAGAGGCATTCTTTTAAAAGCTCAAAATTAATTTATTTTCACCTGCCTTTAAAAAGTGATAACAAAGACCGTCAAAAGGCCATTACCGTGTTGGTTGCTCAGGCTGGTGTCTCGATGGGTTTCGAACATCCTCGTTGACCTCTGAAATGCAACTTCTTGCAGAGGTTAATGCAGAACACCCACAGCCTCAACACCCACCACCTCCACGGGCAGTTGTAGTGTCTATCCTCTAAAAGAGCAAAATTTGATGAAAAACGTTGATAAGCAGAAATAGCCTAGTGGAGAAGCAATTTAATAAAAGTATTCAACAAGAAGAATATTAAGCAAAAATGAGTATGCCCAAATGATGCTTATTTTGAGATGCCAGTTAGAGCTGTGATGTCTGTCTTTGTTTTTTTCCCACATTTTAGAAAAAAAAAAGACCTTTATTTCTCTGCGGTACACATTGGAGATTACTTTTTTAAGCCTCAAACAAGATACGTGTTTCACAGACATCATACTACTTTACCAGACCATAATGCACCGATCGTTGTCCTTTTGCAGTGGGAATGACCTCAGCTGAGCCCACAAGGCCAGGAAGATGGTTCCTGCTCCCATTATATCTTTTTTAGTTTGCTAAAGCACCCTCGCAATCAATGTAGGGCTTATAACCTATGCAAGGCATGATAAAAACAGCAGTCATCATCCTGTGTCTGAGTTTCAAGCCCAGATTTACCTATAGGCAGTATTAGTTTCTTTCGCTCCTGCATACCTGGGTTCAAACTGAGCTGGTGTGGGTGTCATCACGGTGCTGCAAGGGAACCGGGCGCTGCATGGGGATGCCCAGCCCGCTCCCGTAGTGTTTGCAGCCTGGAGGTCAGATTATGCATTTATGTTCCACTAGCAGGTGTTGCCCCATGAATACGGGGTGCCTGGAGCTATCGCAGCTTCATACGAGCAGATCTTGCCTCCGGTCTCACCGCTGGCCGCGGCGATCGGCTCTGCTCGGAAGCCGCCCCGGAGCCCTGGCTGGGAAACGGAGAGGCTGCTGCAATCCTGCTGCTCGGAAGGAATATCCTCCGTGCTGATGTTCAGCACGCGGCTTGGGAGAAGGATTCGGCCCCCAGGTTGTGATCTAAAGCCCTGAATTGTCAGAGAACTTGTTTCTGAGCAAGGGATTATAAGGTGCTTTTTTCAGTCAGAGAAAATGTATTCGTGTACATATATGTGTGCTAGGGAGAGTCATATACAAAGAAGTGGCACGTGTGGAACAGGATCCTAAGGTTGGACTGATTGCCTGCGCAGAGGAGGACACGTGTCTTCTGTGAGGCCCTTCCTCCAGGATGTGCCAGGGCTAAACTTCGCGTACGGAGCTGCTCTCTCCTGACTGGGGCATTTGTCGTCGTGCTCGAGTTTGCTTTGGGATTTGGAGGCGTTAGATTCGAGTGCCGATTTACGGGTGAACTGGGCGAGCGCTGCCTGCTGCTCCCTCTGCCGCTGGAAAACGGGATCTAGGAGGGAAAGGGCTTTGCTCTTCCGGGCTGCGCCGGCAGCAGGAGCGGGAGGCAACAGGACAGCCAGCGGGTCTCTTTGCGGAACCGTCCCGTGTTTTTACGGGAATGTCAAAAACTTGGACCAAAAGTGTCCCCTCGTACTCCACGCCGTGCATGTGCAGCTGCTGTAAATCCCGCGGGTTTTATGCTGGGGCAATCAAATGTCAATTCTAATTTACGTATTTTATAGGTGGCTGCCCGTTGGAAAGCTGATGTCATCTAATTGTAAATGTTAATAGCTGGAATTCACACATGTGAATGTGCATGCAGATAATTGATGTTACATGAGAGCTGATTTTAGACAATTGCATCTTTCTCATGAAAATGAGTCATTGCTGTAAATGTGATGAGGTGGGGACATCCTAGAAGCTGTTCACATTTCTGAGATTTCTAGACACTTCCCATTTAAAACTCAGCGCAGGGTGCCTTTGTAAGAGGAACCGACTTGTTTAACACTCAATACATACAAATATTCAGCCCCTGCGGGGACAATTCTGGCAGAGTGGCATACATATGTATTTATTTCTGCATACTTAAGGAACTTAAGGATCTTAAGGAACTCCTGGGTACAAGACCATGTGGAATAAGTGCAGCAGGTAGAGCACTATCCTGTGCTGCTGGCTTTAAACCTGGTCTATAAAATCCAAACCCAAATGTGAATTTTGAGACAGTTCTCCCTTTTGATGAGATAATGCAAACCAAGCCTTGCAAGCCTGAAGCTTTTAGGTACGAGCTGTGGCCTGCGTGTGGACACAGCTTACAGCTCCGGCTCCTTGAGGCTGGGTTTTGTCCAGAAATCCCTGTAGAGACAGCAGAGGAGGCTTCCCTGGTATGTCTTGAAATACAGCAATGCTGCTGGGTTTGAAATAACCACCCTTCATCTCACGCGTGGCAGAAAGGAGCCCGTGTGGACGGTGTTGGAGCGGGGAAGACAGCGCTGGTTCTCCAAGCACCGCAAGCGCAGGTCACGCCAGGCTGCAAGGGCATTTTTAGACCTCCGTTGGTAGCACATCAGGCATCTCAGTTCCAACAGCCGTCACTGTATTTTGTAAGGGGGGAAAGAAAAAAAACTTCTACTATTCCAAAGTGCCCGGAGAGCAGTGTATGTGCATCTGTTTGGGGACATAAAAGAAAGCACTGGCTCTCCCGAGATGCTGCGTGACACAGGGATGTTTTGCAAGAAGTTAGTGACAGCAGTCGTCTTGGAAAGAAGTGTCAGCAGGGCTTATCGTTAATACTAGGGAATCAGCACACGGATCCGCTTGAAATCTTCTGTTTTCCCAGAAGAGGCAGTTGCTGGGCCGAGCTTTTACTGACCACGTTGGATGCGGCTGTCGCCGACTGGTTTTGGGGCTGGATGGATGGAAAGCAAAATGGGGACAGGGGAGATGAGCACCTGAAAACTTCTATTATGGCTCTTTGGAAGAGCCTGTTTCATGGACCCGTTACAATGGGGAGCAAGGGGACAATGTGGGAGCATTGAGGGCACCAAGACCGGGTGCTGTCCTGCCTTACAGATTGGCATGTGCAATAAACTTGGAAATGGGATGCTAAACTATGTGGCACCTGGCAGGCCGCGTTATGTGAGGTATTTCAGGATATCTTCTCTCATTTGAGCTGAGAGGGGTGCTTTGCTCCTCTAGCAAGAAGTGCTTAGAGCAAGGCGGCTGACGGCCTTCGCCAAGCGCTTCCTCCTCGGGTGCAGTGACTGCCTGCAGCTGCTTCGCTTGTGCTGCCCCCCCTTTCCTTTCTCACTTCATTTTCTCCTTTCAGGCCAATGCAGCTTCTTGCACAGGTAGCATGGTATAATCTCTGCAAAGCTTTTTGCCTTCCAGGCTATGTTAGGTATTTGATTCTGTTTTTTTATTATTTTTATATGTTTGCTGAATTTAGTCGTGTGAGAGGGAAAAAACCCTCATTTTACCCAGCAACTTCAGAAGAAACATGGGAGTATAAGTCATTCCTATTAAATCCACAAAAGTAGCCCAGAGGCCGCTGCGCTGGGTTTCTTCCGCTCTGTAAAAGCAAATAGAAAGGAGCAACCCAGCTTTCATAGGACCCCATTCTGCAAAGCATGAGCCCAGCATGGAGTGCTGTGATTAGGTGGTGGAGCCATGGTTAGGATAGGCTGGAAAACTCAGCTTCATTTGGGCTGCCTGTTTTTGGAGCGGGCATGAAAATGTGCCAGGAGGGCAGCTTGGACACGAGCACTGAGCCCACATGGAGAGGAAAGAAATGTGTGTTTGGTTTTTCTTCCCAAGTGCCTAGAATTGATTATTTAGCTTGCTTTTGCATGCAGTGCTGGCAGCCTTGTCTGCCCATGTCAGGACTCTCCCTGCAAGAAGGGTGCCGATTGCTACCCCTGCTGCTTGAAACAGCCACCGCGGGCGGCTTCCCGGCGCGGCCTGCGAGCCACCAGGCTAAACAAAAGA